GAGGCGGGTGACGAGGATGTAGAGGGTGAAGTACAGCGGGGGGGTGTTCGTGGCGAGGAACTCGGCGGTAAGAGCGGCTCGAAAGCGGGCGTCACTAGCGCGGAGGTGAGTGATAAGTCGGCGCAGTGTGAAACGAGGCTAAGTCTGGGAACAGGTAAGGCAGGATGAGACTACCAACGGTGGCTGTGGTCGGGGCGGAATAGCGGGCAACGACAGCATCATACAGCGTCTTAGCAGTCTTAAGCTGGTTGAAATGCGCGCGCTCAGAGATCGGTAGGTGATTGCGAATAACAAGGCGCGCGACAGCATCGCGGAGCTCCCACTGTGCTCGTTCAGGGGCAGGAGCAGTCTCAGCAGGAGTAGGGACAGTGCCGGTCACATAGGCTAGCAGGGACACTCCGTCTGCGACGTCAGTCATAAGGTAAAGGCGCAGGTCACTAAGCCAGGTGTCAAACTCGATGGGGCGGCCGTCAGGCTCAAAGGCGAGAACAGTAAGGGTCGCCATGGTTGTAGCGCAGGCAAAAGTAGCAGGCTCAGGCAGCAGGCTCAGGCAGCAGGCTCAGGCAGCAGGCTCAGGTAGCAGGCTCAGGCAGCAGGCTCAGGCAGCAGGCTCAGGCAGCAGGCTCAGGCAGCAGGCTCAGGCAGCAGGCTCAGGCAGCAGGCTCAGGCAGCAGGCAAAGACTGCAGGTTCAGGCAGCAGGCTCAGGCAGCAGGCAACTGTAGCAGGTAAGGAAGCACGCAGTTTTGTGACAGGCCGCGCGTAAGGCAGGTAAGCGCACGACTCACGGGCGGCTAAGCGCTCAGGTCGAGGCAGTGGCGCACAGGCAGGGCAGGGCACGCGCTGTGCGGGTGCGCGCGGCAGCGGGTGCGCGGCTGCGGGCTGTGTGGCAGCTGGCTGTGCGCGGCGACGGGCTGCGTGCGGCTGCGGGCTGCGCGCGGCGACGGGCTGCGTGCGGCTGCGGGCTGCGCGCGGCGACGGGCTGCGCGTGGCTGCGGGCTGCGCGTGGCTACTGGCTGCACGCGGCGGCGGGTCGCGCGTGGCGGCGGGCTGCGCGCGGTGACGAGCTGCGCGCGACAGCAGCGAGCACGCGGGCGGCTAAGGCAGCGGGGCGCGCTAAAAAAAAAAATGCACGCGCCATGCAGCCGAGGCGCGCGCGGGCAGCAGGCAAGGTAGGCACGTAGGTATAGCTGTAGGGAAAGTAACTCATGAGTAGGTGGGCCCCAATCTTAGGTCCTTAGGACCATTGCTCTAGATGCCATGTTGAGATAGCTAGGCAAGGTGAGTTGACTATCGAGAGAAATTTTACAAGTAGGAAAACCCTAAGGGGTTATCCCCTATAACATCTACCCCACTACAGCCTACCAATATGTATCACATATATATATCATTTGACAGGCTCGCGGCTACGACGAGCACACACAGGAGCAACGGACCCACAGGCGACTGGCGAAGCAGGCTCGCTGGGCTACCGAAACGCGCGAGGGCATCCGGACTACTGGCGCTGCTGGCGTCACGACGGCTACCTCCACGCAACCTCCCCCGACCGTCCCACGCCCCTCTCACACACCCCCTGCTGACACCCTAGCTCCACTTCCACGGCACCCCCCTTAAACCCTAAACCCTCGGCTCCCACACACCCACCCCCCTCAGCGGCAGCTGCAGCAGTGGGAGACGGAGGAGGAGGAGGAGCCGCAGGTTACCCACACCGGTCACCCCCATGCCCGCCACCCCCAAACCTACGCAGGCAGGAGCGCGGAAACAGCAGAGGCGGGGCACGGAGGGAAAGGGAGGCGCGGGTGGCTCTTGGGCGCCAGAGAAGCAGGGCGAGGGCCCCCCGATGGCGCCACGGCGGGTGACGGAGGGGGCCCGCGCACGGGCCCCCGAGGGCGGCTCGACGGGCGACGGGAGGGGCCGCGCGCGGGCCCCCTAGGCGCCGCGACGAGGCGACGGGAGGGGGCGGCGCGCGGGCCCCCAAGGTGCCGCGACGAGGCGACGGGAGGGGGGGGACGCGCGGGCCCCCAGGGCGCCGCGACGAGGCGACGGGAGGAGGACGACGGGGGGCAGCGCGCAGGTCCCCGGGGGCGCCACGACGGGCAGGAAACCGCCGCGCGCCTCGGGGCGCACGGCGGGCAGAAAACCGCCGTACGCCCTGAGCGCACGGCGGGATGAAAAACCCTAAAATTTTCGCCGCGCGCTCCGCGCACGGCAGGAAGAAGACGGCACGCGCGCGAGGCGTGCGAGAAGCAGAATAGCAGCGGAAGCAGTTAGGTGGCGGGCCCACCCACAGGATCGACCCAAGGGGGTCGACCTGCTCTGATAGCATGTCAAGAAGGCTAGGCAAGAATGATTGAAAGGAGAGGGATTTCACTAGCAGCAGTTGGGGTACATATAGCAAACCCTAACTGGGTTGTACTCGCTACAGAGCACCCCACTACAGGCTAGACAATAATAACATTCTGACACTCTGCCTTGTAACGAGTGTGCTACTAGCAAGACACTGCCAGCATGGCCACTGCAGCCGTCTCCACCCTCAGCCTCTCAGCCCAAGCTCACTGCCCGTGCCCCTGCTCTTGAGAGCCTCTAATTCTGAAGGGGTGAAGTCTGCAGGATAGTGGGGGAGGGGGGGCGGGGAGGGGTTGAGGGGAGAAGGTTTGGTACTTCAGTGGCTGGCGAGAAGATAAACGCTTGCCAGCATGGCCACTGCAGCGATTTTTTAGGCGCTTCAAAAATCACCTCGAGTGTTTGGTACTTTGGTGGCTGGAGAGAGTGTACGTGTGAGTGTGTGTGCATATGTGTGTGTGTCTTTATGTGTGTGTGTGGAAGAGGAGGGGGGGAGGGGGATGTACATGCGTGCGCGCATGCAGGTATTTGTTTGTGTGCATGTGTGCTTACAATATTCAGCTGCCTTGTCATAGTCCAATGAACGCCTGTAATGCATGGAGAGTGTGTGACACGGCTGCATGCGATTGGGTCTGATTTGAAAACGAGATTAATAAATTCCGGTTGAACCAAACACCACCTCCTTCGGGTCCCACTATGAGCAGCCGCATCACTTCATCGTGTCTCAAAGCTTGAATGCAGGCGTCTCAAAACAGTATATTATCACACACTTGATTTGGGCCAAGGATCAAGATTCATCGCGGAGTACCTGCAAACTAGTTTGCGAATCCAGGCGTCTCAAAACAGTATAATATCACACAATTGATTTGGGCCTAAATAAGCAGTCCCCATTGGGGATACCACATATGAATCAGAGAACACTACAACCCACTTGCTTCAGGCCCCACTATTAAGCAGCCTTCGTTGAAAATGTCTCAAACCTGTAGAGTGAGTGAGTGTGTGGTGTGTGTGCGTGTGCGTGTGCGTGTGCGTGTGTGTGTGTGTGTGTGTGCATACTTTGACTTTAGAATCTCACCTCCTTCAGGCCCCACTATAAGCAGTCCGCCCTTTAGCAGCAAGTAAGGCTCCATCGCCCCAACTGCAGCCAGCAGTGGCGGCGAGTTGGGGGCTCCTAGCAGAGCCAAAGGGCCTGCTGAATCTGCAGAGAGGAAGGACAGGGAAGAGGTAGGAGTGGAATGCGGTCAGAAGGAGTTGGTGGTTTTTTCAAACAGCCCATCGCCCCGACTGCTGCCAGCAGTGGCGGCGAGTTGGGGGCTCCCAGCAGAGCAAAAGGGGCCTGCTGAACCTGCAGGGGAGGTGTGGTGAGACAACAAGGAAACAAAAGGGGAAAATGGGACGCTGCAGTGAGACAACATAGGAGTGGGATGCGGTGAGAAGGTGTTGAAGACCTCAAGTTTGACTCAAACATTACCTCCCACCCAGCAGAGCAGAGACGGAGATGTGAGTGAGGGGTGGTGTTGAGATAAATCAATGTGGGATGCAGAGGGAGAAAAAAAGGAAAAAAGGAAAAAAGGAAAAAAGGAAAAAAGGGTGAATCTGATAAACCCAGCCTGTTATTTCTTTTTTTATTCATTTCTGCTTGAGTTGAGCATCCCGTTGCTTGAAGGCCATTTACCAACTGAACCATAAGGAAATGCTCAAGCAGGAGAATGGAGAGGTGAGGTGGTGCTGGTTGGGAAGAAGTGAAAGAGATGATATTGCCTTTATTGCCTTTATTGCCTTTATTGCCACTCAATACTGATACATAGATAGGCACCTGCTTTCGACTCAAAGTGTGTTGTGGGTGTGTTTTGGGTGTGTTGTGGGTGTGTTTTGGGTGTGTTGTGGGTGCGTTTTGGGTGTGTTTTGAGTCGACTCAATGCACACCTGCCTTCATTGCCACGCAACGCGTATGCACGATACGAGGAAAGACATTGGAGCGAGGTGAAGTCGTGGATGAGGGGACGATGGATGGATGGATGGATGGACTTTTGAGACAACAAATGGGCTAGTGACGCGTCTCAAGTGTTGGTTACTCACAGGCGCGCATCCGCACACCACATACCTGCTTGGTTAGGTCGTTGAGCGAGGTGAAGTCGTGGATGAGGGGACGATGGATGGATGGATGGATGGACTTTTGAGACAACAAATGGGCTAGTGACGCGTCTCAAGTGTTGGTTACTCACAGGAGCGCATCCGCACACCACATACCTGCTTGGTTAGGTCGTTGAGCGAGGTGAAGTCGTGGATGAGGGGACGATGGATGGATGGATGGATGGACTTTTGAGACAACAAATGGGCTAGTGACGCGTCTCAAGTGTTGGTTACTCACAGGCGCGCATCCGCACACCACATACCTGCTTGGTTAGGTCGTTGAGCGAGGTGAAATCGTGGATGAGGGGTCGATGGATGGATGGATGGATGGACTTTTGAGACAACAAATGGGCTAGTGACGCGTCTCAAGTGTTGGTTACTCACAGGCGCGCATCCGCACACCACATACCTGCTTGGTTAGGTCGTTGAGCGAGGTGAAATCGTGGATGAGGGGTCGATGGATGGATGGATGGATGGACTTTTGAGACAACAAATGGGCTAGTGACGCGTCTCAAGTGTTGGTTACTCACAGGCGCGCATCCGCACACCACATACCTGCTTGGTTAGGTCGTTGAGCGAGGTGAAATCGTGGATGAGGGTCGATGGATGGACTGACCTGAAGGGCGGACAGGAGAGAGATGAGGGGCGGAAGGGAATGAGACAAGGGGCTGAAGGAAGAAAGAGAGAGGAGTGGGCGGAAGAGAGGCGAGGGGTGGAAGGGAATGAGACAAGGGGCTGAAGGAAGAAAGAGAGAGGGGTGGGCGGAAGAGAGGCGAGGGGTGGAAGGGAATGAGACAAGGGGCTGAAGGAAGAAAGAGAGAGGAGTGGGCGGAAGAGAGGCGAGGGGTGGAAGGGAGAGAGGAGGAGGAGGGGCGGACGAGAGAGAGGGGAGTAGACTATGATGCACTCACACACGTGCACGCATTCATGCATTGATGCACGCACGCACACACGCACATCCCCTCTCAACCCCACTCACTCTGCTTAGTAGCAACCAGCACCACTCGTTCCCATCTGTCCACCCACTTCTTCCCCCTCCCCCCTGCTCCCAGCTTCTGCATGTGCATACATCATATCACACGCAAACACAGACACACACACACACACACACACACACAGATACACCCCCTCACGCTCTGCCCACCACTCACTCTGTTTTGCAGCAGCTAGCGCCACTCGTTCCCATCTGTCCAACCGTCCCTCTCTCCTCCCCCTTGTTCCCAGCCTCAGTAATACATACATGAGACACATGCACACAGACAGACAAACACACTCACCCTCCCTCTCTCCTCCCACTCACTCTGCTTAGCAGCAGCCAGCGCCACTCGCTCCCATCTGTCCACCCGCCCTTCACCCTTCCCCCCTGACCGTTCTGTGACCAGCGGAATGAACCCCACTGCTCCTAGCTCCTGCAGGCGAACACAAACACAGTGAGGAAGGGGGAGAGGGGAAGGAAGGGGCTCAGGGAGGCTGTTTTTGAGTCGACTAAAAAACAAGCTCCTGCAGGCGGACACAAACACAGTGAGGAAGGGGGAGAGGGGAAGGAAGGGGCTCAGGGAGGCTGTTTTTGAGTCGAATAAAAAACAAGCTCCTGCAGGCGAACACAAACACAGTGAGGAAGGGGGAGAGGGGAAGGAAGTGGCTCAGGGAGGCTGTTTTTGAGTCGACTAAAAAACAAGCTCCTGCAGGCGAACACAAACACAGTGAGGAAGGGGGAGAGGGGAAGGAAGGGGCGCAGGGAGGAGCGGTACTATATGAATAAACACAGTGAGCAGTGGGATGAATGAAACCTGCTGCTGTTCCCAGATGCTGCTTGTTCCGGGTAGAAACACAGAAGGGAGGAGGGGGGGAAAGTTTCTCAGACATTTCTATCGAGCAGCAGCGTAGGAAAAGCTTTAGCAAGTAGGAAAAACGGTTGAGATAGAAGAACTAGCTAACTCGTGTGGGGTGCTATACGGATAAACACGGTGAGCAGTGGGATGAATGAATTAACCCTGCCGCTCCCAGATGCTGCATGTGGAAACACAGAAGGGAGGCAAGAGGAAAGGTGCGGGGTGGAAGGGAAGGGGCCAGCGTTTACTATGTGGATGCATTTCAAATCGGAAAAAGAAACCCTCACAATTACTCATTCTGCCAATCCTGACCATGCACTCCTCAACCCCTGGCCGTGCATTTCTCGATCAACACATTCCGACCATGCACTTCTCAATAAAAATTCTGACCGTGCATTTCTCAACTAAAATTCTGACCGTGCATTTCTCAATAAATTTTCTGACCGTGCATTTCTCGATCAGCCAATCGGAGCGGCCGCCCTTCAGCATGCCACAAGCTGCCACCACCGTCCACTGGGGACCGGAGAAAGGAACCTTCCGGGCAGCTTCCATGGCGACGAGAACAAGGCCCTGCTGGCGGTCGATCGACTCCAATCGGACGGTCACGATGGATCCCTGGCCATCAAACAGCTCGGCTCTGCGAAATGGAAGAAGATGGGCAGGGGAGGAAAGGGTGGGCGGGGAGGGGGAGATGGATGGATGGGAAGAGGGTCCTTTTGAGGAGATGGATTGTGGGAAACCATTGCAAAAAACGGAGAAAATAAATAAATAAATAAAAAAGCACAAACCAAATTTCATTGACTCAAGATGGATTTCGAGAGGACTCGGGCCTCTAGTAAATAGAATGCATGACGAAATACGCACAAGTCCTTTTTTTTTCTTCGTCTTCTTCTTCTTTCTTTCTTTCTTCTTCCCGATTTCCTTTAAAAAAGAACCGGCTTAAATACGCACAGGTCACCGGGTCGAAGGCGCAGCGATCGAGTCATATGAGACGCCTCGGAGCCCACCAATCTCACAGCACTGCCCTGCCAGCATGGCACATTGCCACGTCATCAGATGCCTGCCTGGACGCGACACATGCACAATGCTATTTAACACAGCAAGCGACGTTAGGCGATCTTAGAGAAAGATCCGTGTCCTCGATATAAAACTCCTCACCATTGTCGGGGGCAGATTTGCGGAAAAGAAACGCGGAAGCCCCGAGGAAAAAGGGGAGTAAGAGGCAGGAGAGGCGGAGGAAGAAGGGGAGGAGGAGAAAGGGGAAGCGGGAGGCGAGGAGGAGGAAGAAGAGGAGGGAGGGGGAGGCGAGGAGGAGGAAGAAGAGGAGGGAGGGGGAGGCGAGGACTGATGGGAAGGGGATGTTGGAGAGGATTGAAACGAGGATGAATGCCCTGATTCTGCAGCGAGCGTCGCCTTTTCTCTCCGTCGTTGACGAGACACGTGGCAGGCTCCCATTCGCTGCCGTTGCCAGCGCTGGAAGAGACCGAAGCTAGAGCCTTCTTCCCGGCGATCATACTGACACCCGGGATGAACGAAACTGCAGTTACCAGCGTTAACGAGACTGGCGAACTCTAAATTCGTCGCTCGGGATGGTCGCTGAGCCGCGAACGACCCAGCGAAACGCCCCAGGAGATCGGCATTGGCCATCGGAATTAAAAACCTTTGCGCCGAGGCTCCGGCGGAAGAGACGCGCGCCGCGTCTGACCGACGACAGGTCACTACTAAGCTCGGAGTCGCGACGCTCCTGGTGCTGTCGACGGTAAGCGATAGCAGCGACGACCGCCGTCGCAAAACGCGTGTTTCGACCGATCGAGCCAGAACAGATGTGGCGGACATTGCAACGCTGCACGAACTCGGGACTGTGGGGAGCGCCGAGGCCTAGTGTCTATCAAGGGGCACTACTGGAAAAAGGGACCACATCTGCTTAGGTCGAATTGGAACCTTGCACAGTTGCTCCTGTCAGACGACTCTCTCGTGGAACGGTAAATAGGAGGCTGGCCTCTAAATGTCACCAATAATCGCACTGAACCGCTCTTGAATCCCCCTCACCATTTGCCGCGCTCTGCCTGAATGCAGACCGCGAATTGGGAACACGTTCTTGGAGGGTGGGGGGGAGGGGGATGCAGTTGGGCAATCTCAAGGTACGAGGCCGTGTTCACAAGTACATCACATGATCATTTCGCTCGCTCGTTTCATGCACAGGATCGTTTGTTAGGGAATGCATTTCGCGACCCATTTACCGCACTCCGAATGCCTGGAGTGCGCTCTCAGGATGCTCCCAAGACCATTCGATTGGTCAGTCAGTCTGCATTTCCGAAATCAACATTTCAGGACAAGGATCATCGGTTGTATTCGGTATATCACGTTTGAAAACGGTAGATTCTTACAACCGCGTAGAACCCCGAGGAAACCCACTGAATCGCATGAGGGAAGCAGTCGTGTCAGTCGTGCTTGAAAACTGAAGCTCGAGCTTGTGTGACCAAGCAATGATATCACCAGATTTCAGGACCAGGTCTGGCGATTTGGAGAACATCCGGAATCACCGCCATTCTCGGAGCCGACTGCGGTTCCTGTGGTCTTGAGCCGGGCCTAGGATAGGCGGCTGCTGTGGTACTTAGCTGGATCTTATGTAAGCTGTTGTTGGGCTGGCTCTCTTTTTACCACTTCGTCGCCATTCCTGCTGCATTGTGGGTGTGCACTACTTGTATCGCTGACAACGCAACGCGCTCAGACTAAGCTCTTTCCGCTTTGCAGCGGAGGAGCGAAAGATTAGGTGTATTTATTATTCCTACCCCACGCCGTTTTCAAGAGGGTCGAGACGCTGGCGTACCATCAGTCTCGCGCCGCCATAAGATAAGACATTTCCTTATTCGTTCAGTTGTTTCGGGCTTGTTCCAACTGAGCCTGTAGTTCAGGCCATGTGAAGTGAACATCGCGACGTGAGTTTCCAATAACTCGCTCATTGTCCAACATCTGCATTGGAAGCCTTTGTGCGCGAACAAAGTCTCCGCGCGCACGAAAGAATCCGCGCGCGCTGATAAGCTATCACCGTTCCGCTTCCAGCATGGCCACGCGGCTGCTGCTCCAGCAACCCGCCCCGCTTGCGCCGTTTCCGCCTGCGCCAGCGCAGCCCGCGCGCGGGCGGAGGTCCATCGGCGCAAACAGCCTCCTCGCGCGGGGAACTGCTCCGCGTGCCAGTGCGAAAAGCCTCAGAAGCAGCGGATCAGGCTTGTTCGGCGTTCCGCGGACGCTTAGTTGCGGCAGGCGCATTTCTGAAACGCCTGAATACAGGCGCAATGCGACCGGCACAAGCAAGGCCGTCCGCGGACCAGTCCGCGCCGAGGCTTCCGCTTACGCTGGCGGAGGCGGCGGTGAGGCTCAGCGCGCGGAAGCGGAGTGGCGCAAGGCGGAGGCTGGGAAAAGTGGGGGGGAAGGAGCACAAGAGCATCGGGTGACTTCGCCTGTGATGGTAGGGTCCGCATTCAAAGTGTCATAAGTGTGTCATGTCATATGTGTGTTATGTCTGTATGCATACTTTGCTGTGCGATGTCGCACGTTTCAGCCAAAGGTCGCACGCATGCACGTGTCTAGTATAGGTCCATCCTGCGAGCAATGTGGCTCGACACGTGGCTGTTAGCCTGTGCGTGCAAGCAGTGTGGGTGAGTGAAGGATGTGAGATGCCTAACCTGCTTCCTTTCTCTCCTTCACTCCGCTGCCTCCCTGCTTTCCCACTCCCCAATCTCCCCAGCCCTTCTCGTTTCCCCCTTCGCCCCGGCCGTTGGCCCTGCGCCCACCCTCCTTCCTCTGCTCCTAGCGGCAGCGCTGGTGCCAGCCAGCATCAGCAGCAGGGCTTCTCGGATAGATATATCCCTTCGCTTCACTCCTCTTCCTCTATCTATTTTCACTCTCACTAGCCCCACTCCACCCGCTTTCTCCCCCCCCCCCTCTCCCTCCTCTTCCCCACCCCCCTTCTCCCTCACTCCCCATCCCTCCTCCCTTCCCGTCCTTTCCAATTCTCTCCCCTTGGTCCATCCATCCACCCATCCGCTCTCCGGCCTCTCATCCTAGCAGCAGCGCTGCTCAGGTGGAACCCCCTTCGCCCCACCACCTCTTTCGCTCTCCCTATCCCCCCTCTTCCCCTACCCCCCAACCCCCCCCTTCTCTCCCCGTGGCCCATCCAGCCCTCTGCCCTCCGGCCTCTCATTCTAGCAGCAGCGCTGGTGGCAGCATCAGCAGCAGCGCTGCTTGGGTGGAACCCCCTTCGCCCCACCGCCTCCCTCCCTCCGCCTGCTGCCGCTTCTGCTGTTCAGGTGGGGTGCTGGTGGTGTGGGTGGTGGTAGGTAGTGTTGGTGTTGGTGATGGTTGTGGTGGTGGTGGTGGTGCTGCTGCTGCTGCTGCTGCTGCTGCTGCTGCTGCTGCTGCTGCTGCTGCTGCTGCTGCTGCTGTGCAGCCGCGTTGGTGTGGCTGCTTCTACTGCTCTTTCTACTTCTATTTCCTTTGCTGGTTCGGGGAACCAAGGACACTGAAAAATCTCTCAAGTTTTCAAACCGATAACATGTTTCTGCCTTCCCCTAACTTTCCTCCCATGCCCCCTTCCCCCACTGTTCATTGCCAAACTCCTTCAAGCGTGCGATGCAAGCAATAGGCCACCAATCCTGAAACATCTCAAGCTTGAGTCTTCTCAAACCTCTCGAAACCCCCACCTCCTCCTTCCCCCCCCCCCCACCGATCCCTTCTCCTTGTCAGATCCCTCTGGGCGTGCAGTGCAGTGCAGGAGGTCAAGCCCCTATCTATTTCTCACATCCCTCTGGGCTGGGCTCCTGTCCATGTGTCTTCTGAATTGAACCACATGCGTCGTATCCATCTCTCTCACCCACAAAGCACCCACCACCACCCCCATGCTCCCACCACACCCACCCCACACACTTCCTCCAATCCCAGATCCCGCTGGGCGTGCAGGAGGCCAAGCCCCTGGGTCGCCTGTCCAATCGCTTCTTGAGTTGGCCCAAAAAGCCATCCCTCCCCTCCCCCACTTTTGGACGTCTTCCCCGCTTCCCCACTCCTTTCCTTCCAACTTTTCCTTCGCTGATCCCTCTGGGCGTGCAAGAGGGGCCTGTCCAATCACTTCTTGAGTTGGCCCAACAAGGCATCCCTCTTTCCTTCCCCCGTTTTCCCTCGCAGATCCCTCTGGGCGTGCAGGAGGCCAAGCCCCTGGACCGCCTGTCCAAGCGCGCTCGCCTGCTGTACTGGCTGGACAACCTATTCGCCACGGAGCCCAACAGCAAGGTGAGTGAAGCAGGGGAGAGAGCTTCAGTTACAAAGATGTGACTCTTGAGTTGAGGTGAGCATGTAACACACCCTGTGCTCGCCTGCTGTACTGTCTGGACAACCTGTTCGCCACGGAGCCCAACAGCAAGGTGTGTGTCAGTCAGGCAACTCAAACACACTGCATGTGTGTGTGTGTGTGCATGAGTCGACTCATAACACGCTGCAACCGCGCTCGCCTGCTGTACTGGCTGGACAACCTGTTCGCCACGGAGCCCAACAGCAAGGTGAGTGAAGCAGGGGAGAGAGAGAGAGAGAGAGAGAGAGAGAGAGAGAGAGAGAGAGAGAGAGAGAGAGAGAGAGAGAGAGAGAGAGAGAGTGAGGGGGAGTCTAATTGCAGAAAGGCAACTCTTGATTGATTTGAGGTAACCCACGCTCAGCCTGCTGTACTGGACTGGCTTGACAACCTGTTCGCCACGGAGCCCAATAGCAAGGTGCGTGAAGCAGGAGAGAGAGAGAGAGAGAGAGAGAGAGAGAGAGAGAGAGAGAGAGAGAGAGAGAGAGAGAGAGAGAGAGAGAGAGAGAGAGAGTTAGAGAGAGAGTGAGAGAGAGAGAGAGAGAGAGAGAGAGAGAGAGGAGATAGAGAGAGAGATCAGAGAGATAGATAGAGAGAGAGGACTTAGCCTGCCTGCCCTCTAGCTATATATAGGGCCCTTGGGGTCATTTCTCTGCCATTAGTTCGTTTGGTGCCAGTTTTCTTCGGCGCTCGCGCCGGCGGCCTTCGGCCGCCAGCGCTCGCGTGCGCGGCCTTCGGCCGCGTGCTCTCGGGTGGCAAGCATCAAATCTGGAGAAAACAACAACGACACAAACGACGCAATGGAGACAGACCACACGCGCAACAACTAGACAAACAAGATGCAACAAGTCTACGTGCGGAGGCCGCCAAATCCTACATCAAATGGGCGTCCAGTGCCGCGAGGATCCCTCGCATGGTCCTCCACATCTGGCGGACCACTAACGCGGTCGCGCCAAGAGCTTCAACGGCGCCTCCTTCGCGGAGGTGTCCAGTCAGATCCTGGACAGTCACGTCCAGCTCCGACACCGCAACGCCTCCCGGCGCGGGCGCTCCCAGCACGGGTAGCAGGAGGAAGGCCAGCTGCGTGGCTGCTCCCATGCAATCAGCTCGCGCCGTCGGATCGAGAGTGCTCCCTGGGTTCCGGAGGATGGCAAAGTGCGAGTTCACCAGAATCAGTGTCAGGGCCTGCTGGCACTCCACCAAGCGCCACAGCTGCGCGAGGGTCGCCGTGGGAACTTGAGCCGTCCCGGTCAGCCTCGCCGCGGCAGGAACGGGAAGAGCCGGCGGGGGGGGGGACAGCCGGCAC